CTTTGACTTATTCACCACATTGAATAAGGAGTGAAAACTACAACACACAACAACATTAGTTTAGTCATTACCAAAGTTCTAAATTCAAACAATAAACTAATACAAGACAAAAGAAAGCTTAGTTGTTAACTTCAGTAAAGTGAAGGAGCTTACATTTCTGTTGCTGCCTGCTCTGTGCAGCTTTGAAGATTAAAGAAGGAACCCTCCACTTCCTGCTTCCTTTATAGGCAGGGCTTGATCAGTCACTTCCTGTAGCAGTCTCTGACAGGCCAACAGGGGGTGCCATTGCACCATGCGTAGCTCATTAAAAGAATCCTTAGTTATTGTTGTTTTTTACGATTAATGAATGTATGTGGGTTCTTTTCAACATAGGAATATGATGTTTTTTTCTTTCTTTCTGTATTCTAGTGTTTGAATAAATGGGAAACTTTCAATGACAGGCTTGTAAAACAATAAGTCAGTTCAATCAATCTTTATTTTGTAGAGCGCCAACTCAATACAAATGTTATCTCAAGACACTTTACAAACAGCAGGTAAGAGAGAGTCTTGTCTGGGTTAAAGGCAGGGTTGATCATTTTCTAAAAGTAGCATTCCCTCAGTGCTGCGTCTGCACCCACCCCAGAAGTGGACCTCAGCTCACTGCTTGCATTGTCAGGACCAAAAGACAATTTCAACCACAATCTTAAAAAGTGGATCTGGAGAAAATCACCAACCCTGCCTTTAAGTAGTTTTTAGTCCTTACAGAAAAACTGCAGTAAGTACAGATTCTATTTGTGCTTGAAAACATCGAACATTGAACTGAAACCATGAGGTTTTTAAAATGTTAAACACTTTATTTAAATGTTAACAGAGTGTAGATGATGATGCTGTTCCTGTATCTGTGCTCTGATCTCTGTTCAGTCTATATGTGATGATATATGTGCCATCATAAACGCAAGACACCAAAAGAAGCAGCAAGGGGGTTGATGTCTGTTCCTCGGGTGATGTTGTCTCTCTCTCTCTCTTCTGTTGACCAGGGGGGAGACGGTCCTTCACCGAGCTGCGTCCCTGTGTCAAAGAACTATCTGTCATTATCTGGTTGAAGCAGGAGCCTCGCTCATGAAGACAGACCTACAGGTACACTTCAGACGCTAACCTGAAAGGTTATTATTTATTATTTCCCAGCTAAAAGGGAAATAAAACAACAGCTAAAAGGTAAATAAAACTAAACAACAGCTAAAAGGTAAATAAAACAACAGCTAAAAGGGAAATAAAACTAAACAACAGTTAAAAGGTAAATAAAACAACAGCTAAAAGGGAAATAAAACTAAACAACAGCTAAAAGGTAAATAAAACAACAGCTAAAAGGGAAATAAAACTAAACAACAGCTAAAAGGTAAATAAAACAACAGCTAAAAGGTAAATAAAACAACAAGTAAACTAAGACAACAAGCTCTTCATCCAGCCTTCTGTGTTTAATTTACTCAAAGAAACAGCAGTCTAATTCATTTATTATTTAAGTGCAGTAACCAACAACTAACCACCAGAGGGCGCCCTCTCCATATAAAGTGATTTATAAACGATAAAATACATTTATTTTCAACCTATAACTTTAATTAGAGTCTTACATCATTGTTTGATCAATTATTTATGTTAAAGCTGCATTTTTACCTTAAACCTTTTCTTCTTAGGTTTAATTTTACTTTTCAAACTTACTTTTTAATCAATTTAATTCGTTTATTGTCGTTTGGTTTTCTTAATGAAAATACCACAAACCTTTTTATTGATTTAATTGAAATGATTAATTTGTTTGAATGCAAATACGAGGAGGACATCAGCAACCTGTACAAACAGCTGGATGACAAGAATAGACTAAAGTCAAAGACAAGACACAACATTAGAAGCACAGTTTGGAGACAACCTGCTTAAAATACTTTCATTTTCTCAATTATTATTACTTAATGTCATTTTCTTATTTAAACATGGATTTCATAAGGATGATCATTTTTGCATGAACTCACTCTGACCCCACGTCCCTGCCAGGAGGAGCTGTGCCGGCTGCAAACGGAGAACCAGCTGAAGGAGGAGGTGAAGGAGGTGCTGCAGGGCTGGAGGAGCTCGCCGTCAACTACGACCAGAAGAGCCAAGAGGTGGAGGAGAGAGAGAGACATGATGGAGACGAGGACATCAAGGTGAGGACACAAACACACTTTGTATTGTCTCTAATCTGTTTATACATCTCCACAAAACTCTGGAGGAGCAGCTGGAGAACCACCACAAGCAGCTCAGCCGCCTCAGAGACCAGATCCAAGACAAGCAGAGGATGATGGACGAGCTCCTTTTTGTTTCAACCAGGGCCTGTTACTGGAGCAGGAGAGACTCATGACAGAAGCTCATGTATGTACCAGCTAACACATCACACCACATTTTCTGTCCAGACTGCTGAATGATCAGAGGGAAAACCAAACCCTGGGGTATTCCAAACTAACGTGCAATGGCACATAAAATACATAACCAACATAACAGCATAACAACAACAAGGCCCCCGGATCCAAGTGTCATGTCATTTAAAAACCCAACAGTCTGCAGAAGTCTGAACTCTGCATGCAGAGGGTGCTGCACGTAGTGTTGTAGTCATGACCACACTAAGACCAAGACCACAAATATCTTTGTGTGCAGGGGACGTTTTACTCACTTGGACCGTAACACCGGGAAGGTTGTGGTCGTAACTAAATCAAACTATAAATGGAGTTAAGTTATTTCTTGTTTTTTCCTTCTAGTCCCGAGACCTTCAAGGAGTCTCAGGGAGCACATGAGGGTGTTCCAAGACTTCTGATTGGCCCTTATTTTTTAAAATAACTGTATTTCTCCGCCTGTTTTTGTTAACGATGCTGAGGTTCCTACAAACATCCATTCAACACAACCACACGTAATCAAAGCATTTGTTTGAATGATCACCTGTCTGTTTCTCTCGTCGGTTTTCTTATATCTGTAGCTCTGGATTTATCAACAGGAAGTGCTCTGGAGTGCAACAGGAAGTGCTCTGGACTTAGCAACAGGAAGTTATAAAGGAAACAGGAAGTGCAGGGTTCTTTCTTTAATCTTCAAGGCTGCCCACAGCAGGCAGCAACAGCAGTGTAAGTTCCTTTACTGAAGTTAAGGTTTAGCATCAGCATGTAGCTTAGCATTAGCCTTGTTATTTATTGCATCTGATGTAGCATGTAGCTTAGCATTAGCCTTGTTATGCATTGCATCTGATGTAGCACACCATGTGGTTTAGCATTAACATGTGGCTTAGCATTAGCATGTAGCTTAGCATTAGCCTTGTTATGCATTGCATCTGATGTAGCACACCATGTGGTTTAGCATTAACATGTAGCTTAGCATTAGCATGTAGCTTAGCATTAGCATGTAGCTACCGTATCTGTCGTCTATCTGCAGCTGTACTGAATGAGGTATTTTAATCCTCTGCATCTTCAGTGTCACAGTAACTTTGTCTGTTTGGTGATGTTGGATTAGCAGAGTTTAATAATACACACATATACACACACATATATATACACACACACACATATATATACACACACACACACACATATATACACACACTGTGGTAACACATGTTTTTATTTCTTAACACAAGGCTTTAAACAGAAAGAAGACGATTGAAACAGCTTGAACAAATGTTTTATTTTATTTAATTGATAAATATTTCTAATATTAATCATTTCTAATATATTTTTAAATATTATAAAATATTTTATTTATTTATTATTAAATTAATCAATAATATTATAATATTAATCATTTATAAAATATTTAAATATTATAAAATATTTTATTTTTTAACAGTTTATTTTTACTGAATTCCCCAATTTAAATGCAAATCAAACATTTTTAACATTCTCTCTCTCTCTACAGATAGATGATCCCACACCTGTGCACCTCATTTCTACATACTCACCTGTGCATGCTTTGCTATGACGATTGTCTTTGTTGGTCCAAACTAAATCGAAACATTGTCTTTCAATTGCAGGAGCTGCACCTGAAGGGAGCAAAGAGATGGTCTGCCACATATTCACCACATTGAATAAGGACTGAAAACTACAAGACACAACAATAAACTAATACAAGTTGTTGCTAATGCTAACCTACATGCTAATGCTAAACCTTAACTTCAGTAAAGGAACTTACACTGCTGTTGCTGCCTGCTGTGGGCAGCCTTGAAGATCAAAGAAAGAACCCTGCACTTCCTGTTTCCTTTATAACTTCCTGTTCCCTCAATGACCTACAGAGAGGAGAGTTGTGTTCTTGGTCTAAACATATCATATAAAAACTGTCTCCACATATTTTACTTTATTACTATTTACTTTATTTTACATATTGAACATTGTCCATTTACTATTCTGTTTTTGCACATTTACATTTAATCTTTCTATTTAAGTCTAGTAATGCTAAGTTAAATCCTGGTTGTATATATTCTCATTCTTAGTTTTGATATTTTTACTACTTATTTACTTTGTATTTAATATTATATTGTGTTTAGATTTGCTAACATTGTGTTTTTTACTCATATTGTGTGTTAGATAACCTGCTGCTGTAATGCCACAATTTCCCAGTTTGGGATCAATAAAGTCATTCTATTCTATTCTTAAGTTTTATCCAACACTTTTAAATGAAAGGGTCTGACATGTTAACAAAACTTCACACACACTTCATTTTCTTCTCCATAACCCCCTACTTGTGTTACTCTCCAAACACCAGGGGGAACTTTGCCCCCCCAGTGGTTCCCAATGCTGCTGATTAAAGAACCCTCAACCCAATTTGTGAAATGTCCACATAAATTCTTTTTTGCCCCCCTAGCGGTTCCAGGCCTCAATGCCGTGGAAGCTGGATTTGAACCAGCACGTACCCGTTGCAGATGCAAGGACGATCCCACTCGGCCACCGGCCCCTTCACACTTGGAGATGTGTTCCGGGCGTATTTATCATGGTCATTATGGATTTTGACTTTAAAATTTGCCTGATAAGATTCAAACCCTCCATCACCAGACACAGTGGGATTCAAACCCAGGCTCCCCACCTACAGAGCTTAGAAACCACAATCTTATCCACTACACTACTGATCCCTTCACACTATGACATGAGCTTCGGGCGTATTTATCTTCATCAATTCAGATGTTGGACTTTAAAATTCACAGTGTCCTGATAAGATTTGAACCCACAACCTCCAGAGTCCAAGTCCTCCTTCTATCTGCTGAGCCACAGAGACAGATACTTGATTATGTTTCTCAGATCTCTTCAGTCTTTCCTTTGGACCAACACCTTTAAGATAATTGTGTGTGTGTGACCGTCTTTGAGTCTTTCCTGTGTATAGATACTGGCAGGTGCTTCACTATGTTCCTCTTGAGTCTTTCATTTAGGACGGACACCTTTAAAATTCACTCAGTCCTGATAAGATTTGAACCCACAACCTCCAGACTCCAAGTCCTCCTTCTATCTCCTGAGCCACAGAGACAGATGCAGACTTTGTTTCTCCTGCTGGATCTGTGTGTTGTTTTGTTCAAGTCTAAGATTTTTTTTTAAATATATGTCAAATAAATGATTTATTGGGGGGTGACGTCCTGCATTTGTTTGGCTTCCTGACTTGGCAGAAAGTAGGCGGAGTCAGGAAGGCCATTAGTCCAACTGGGTACACCTGAGTCCATCAGGACTCTGCTTCTAAGTGGCTTCCAGTCTAACTTGTCTCCCCTCTCTTTCTCCCAGGCCTCCACCAACTGCTTTACTTTTGTTCACACTTTCCAACACTACACTCATCCATACATTGTATTCATGACTGATTTACATAATTATCATTATTTGATAATAAATTCACTTCCTTTTAAACCTTGTTTCATGTGTGATACCCTTCCTTTGTCACGTGCTGTAACAACTCTAAAATGAAGGATGTTATGATGTCACAATTATAGGAGAATATACATATATTTAAATCATCATATACAAACACTTTTTAATGTAAAAACTACCTCATGTTTACAGTATTATCCTATTTATCCTTGTACATATTTGTTTATTGTTGATATTTAATATTATACCTTTGTACAAAGACAGCACAGTTTACAAAAGTAAACTTGTGTTTAAGCATACCTGGACAATAAAGCTGATTCTGAAGGATTTCTGTGGCTTTGATAACTGTTGGAAATAAACTTGTTAAAAAGTTTGGAAACATTATTTTGTCAATTATTTCACCCCTTTAATAAAACTAATTGGTGTTGTATTTTATATCGTTGGAAAGCCTGATGAGTCACCTTTACAACGAGGTATAACTTGTAAGGATCGAGCAACGCAGCTAAACGTTTGAGTAGCGCTCTAAAAAAATGTTCTAAAATGGACACAGCAGTAGTTTTATTACAATAAAATATTGAACAGACATCATGACCTCTGTGTTTTGTACATGTTACATCAGCACAATACAATAAGGTGTCACAGGTGAGGGGGTTACATCCAGCCAGTCCCCCCCCCCCACTATCCTCCAGCCCCATTGGGTAGGAGCTCAAAAGCTTTCTTAATGTTGTTTTATGTTCCAGGTTGATGTTCCTCCACTCTAAATCGACTTCTTAGTAGCTGATTAAAATAACTGAGTCTAAACATCTATAAGACCTAAAACCTGGAACATAATAAAACAACATTAAGAAAGCTTTGAGTCTCCTACCTGAGCAGGAAGACGGCCACCAACGGGGATCCTCCTGGAAGACGTTAACAGAGTTCCTGTTGGAGAAGAAAAACTAATTTTAGTTCATCAAGTTAATAAAACTCAGAAAATGTTTGTGATTATACAACACTGTGATGATTGGAATAAACCTGGGTTTCATCATTCACTGTAAATGATCTGTGTTTAACTTCACTTTAAGGGTTTTGGATGAAGCAAACTTAAATTCAAAGTTTAAACGTAGAATATAATATAGAAACATCTTAACAGATTTATCTTATATTACAAGTTCTACAAGTTTGTTTACCTTTAACTTGTGCAAGCTTTGGGGGGAAAGAAAATGCTGTATACATAAATATTCAGTGTGGTAATTGATCTGAATGAACTTAATATAATCGAGCACATAAGGTAGGTGAAGAAGAGCTATGAGCATATGAAAGTTAATAAAATCAAGGCAAGGGAGAAGATTTTTCAGCTGCTCCTCCAGAATTTTGTGGAGATGTATAAACAGATTAGAGACAATACAAAGTGTGTTTGTGTCCTCACCTTGATGTCCTCGTCTCCATCATGTCTCTCTCTCTCCTCCACCTCTTGGCTCTTCTGGTCGTAGTTGACGGCGAGCTCCTCCAGCGCCTGCAGCACCTCCTTCACCTCCTTCTTCAGCTGGTTCTCCGTTTGCAGCCGGCACAGCTCCTCCTGGGAGGGACGTGGGGTCAGAGTGACTTCATGCAAAAATGATCATCCTTATGAAATCCATGTTTAAATAAGAAAATGACATTTAGTAATAATAATAATAATTGAGAAAATGAAAGTATTTGTATTTAGTTTGAATCTTTAAGCAGGTTGTCTCCAAACTGTGCTTCTAATGTTGTGTCTTGTCTTAGACTTTAGTCTATTCTTGTCATCCAGCTGTTTGTACAAATAAGCAGATTTAATCAAATTGATCATTTCAATTAAATCAAGAAAAAGGTTTGTAGTATTTTCATTAAGAAAAACTAAAAACTAATTTAATTAACTAAAAGGTAAAAATGCAGCTTTAATATAAATAATTTACCATACAATGATGTAATCTTAAATATCCAATTACTTTATTGACTCACAAAATTAACTGTCACAAGAACAAAAACTCTAATTAAAGGTATAGGGTGAAAATAAATGCATTATATCGTTTATTAATCACTTTATATGGAGAGGGCGCCCTCTGGTGGTTAGTTGTTGGTTACTGCACTTCAATAATAAATGAATCAGACTGCTGTTTCTTTGAGTAAATTAAACACAGAAGGCTGGATGAAGAGCTTTTACTTTTAAATTAAATAAATGAAGTCTATTCATATTACTTGAGTAAGATGAACATTTAATCTCTGAGCTCTGTGAACAGTAATGTTTAGAAAATCATTTTACCTCTGAGCTGCAGCACAGAGCGAGGAAACACCTGCACACACCTGTACAAAGAAACAAGAAGAAAACCCTGCATTCTGAGTTCAACCAATGCTTCTTTTCGCAGCATTTTCATCCAAACTCGGACACCCGTCATCCGCTCGAGTGGTCCAGGGTCGATATTAAACTTTGGCGCACCTGAGGAGCACACCTGAGCTTGATGCGCAGCAGCGGAAGTGACGTCGACTTGTCACTCTCAGGTAAAGCTCGTATCGATGTAGAGAACTCATTGTGAATGAGGAGACACAATAACAAAATTAAGTAAAACACCGAAAATAAATAAAACATTCAGTTTTAGATTCATAATCTACAAATGTGGATAGATACTGTTGTTGAAATGATTTGTCTACTAGTGAAATTATCCAAACACTCCTGCTATTATACCAAAGGAAACACTAATATTTTACTGACTTTAAATACACATGTTCAATCTTGTGGTAGTTATAGGTGTAGTCACATTAATTTCCAACAATTTTACAAATTATTAAGTCTTTTCATTTAGTTTGTTTTAACCTATTCTTAGATAAGTATAAAAGATGGTTGAAAATAATTTAAATAATCTGAATTCAAACAATGTTGGTAGGTAACTGCACTATTTATATTTTTCCACACTTTTATGTGGTGGAAAAAAAGGTTAAAAAGAGGATACATTTCTGTTATAGTGACTGTTGGATGTAATTGCAACCCAGTGCCAGCAGAGGGCAGCAGTGTAATATGAACGCATGATGCAGCGGTTAATTAGGCCTGACCTGTTAACCTCCAGGTGAGTTATATTGTAATATTTACAGTCTATGGTTGTAAAGAGCAGAAGTTACATTACAGCCAGCCCGATTGAAGATGGAATATCTGCCTCTTATTTAGCCTACCAATCAACATTAAGGCTTGTGTTGATGTGAGATATCGGCGCCCTCTGGGCTCTCTATAACACTGTTTATACTAATACAAACATTTTTTAAACAAATAATCAAAATACTGTGGTTGATTAAATCAAAACAAATGATTAAGTAATGATAATTGTGACTGCGTATGTAAAATAGTGTTGTAGTGACATACTATGACCAGTGGAGGGCACTGATTTTTCTCTGTATTCAGTTTGTTCAAATTTCCCTGATGAATATTGTTGTTCAAATAATGTGAAATAAATCCCTGAAAGTATTATTATTATTTCTATAATGGTGCCTGGTGTTTTTACTGAGGATCATCCTGACCCGTCTCTGGTGTTTTATTTCTGCTCTTCTTTGTAACTAGATGTCGTTGTAAACAAAGGAAACCTCAATGAGGCTGAAATAAAGGTCTGAAATGAAACAAAGTCAAGTCAAAGTCAACTTTATTGTCAATTTCAAAATATGTGGAATCGAAATTGCGTTTGTCTCCGTCCCACGGTGCAATACAACCAAAATAAGGTAAAATAAAATAAGGTAAAATAGATAGAATAAAATAATAGATAGATAAATAATATTTACAGTAATAAATTCTAAATAGTGCAAAAAGGTACAAAACAAAACGGTAAATAAAATAAAATGTAAAGAAAAAGTAAACTTGAAGTGTGCAGTAAACTCAGTGTATTTTTTGAATACTTTTGAACGTATTCCTTCTGTCTGTTTTAAAAGCATGATGTCACTATCAACCTTTACTTTTCTGTCCGAGGTCAGGACGAGTTTAAAGGATAAAGAAAAGCTGAGACAGACGTCCATTCATACTGTAAAGGTCAGAGGTCAGCTCAGCCATGTGGAGGGGAGGTGTGAGAGAGAGAAAACATTTAAAAACCTCAAAAACCCAAAACAGACGGAGCTGAAACATCCAGAAACCGTCAGGTCTGCAGGTCTCCAGATCAGGTAAGGATGTTTCCTGTCTTAGAGTCGCTGAAAAGATTCGAGTGTAAAAGCTGCTGTTTGGCGTTTAAAAAGTGTTTTTATGGACCGTTCAATTCTCTGAGAGTCTGTGAGTATGCGGAGACTGAGACAAGACCAAGACGATTAGTGATCGAGACAGAGACCAGAATTAAACCATACAAATCTCTGAATGTTTGTGAGTATGTGGTGTGAGACATTGGGAGCTGCACTCAGTGTTACACAGGTTTGTATAAAAGTAACGCCTCTGCAAGTCAAGACCACATTAACCGAGACTGAGACATACCCAAAACCAGAGACAAGACTCAGACCAAGGCAAGGAGAGACCGAGACAAGACTAAGACCTCAAATATCACTGAAAAACTATTATCTTGTGTGCAGGGGGCGTGTCTTGATTTAAATCTGGAGTACGCCCAGCCTGAGAACGATACAAGACCGATTTTTTTTTTATTTAGATTCCTAGGATCTTCAAAACTTGGTCTTTAGATCAATCATGAGACTCAGGCGATCTCGAGTTCTACAGCTCTGCTAATTGTTATAAAACAGTTCCTGTTGGGCACATCCACAAAAACAACAAGAGGCCTTCAAATGAAAGAGTTCAGTTTTTTCTACAAACAGAAGAATCTTCAGTCTGATGAGGTTTTTAAACTCATATGTCTGTCTCCTTTATTGATACGTGTTTGTGTCCTCAGAGGAGCTGAAACATGACCAAGTGTTTCCTGCTGAGCGTGTTCGTCCTCCTGATGCTGATTCCGGCAGGTAAATAAAACTCCAACTTTTCATTCTGGATGTTTGCAGCCACATCAAAGATGCCTGGGGTCAAATTCACTTTATACCAAAGAGAACTGTAACCACTGATTATTTTTTCCTCAGTGTAACCTCATTCTGATGATCTAGTTTATTGTTTTTTTGTCACGTTAGAATATCTGAAATATAAAACCTCTCGAGCCTGAGAGGTAAAACTCAGGGCAACAGGGTCAGACAACATCTCTTTTTTCTCACCTGCTTGTTACTTTAGAGGATCTGTGCTGAAGATGATGAAGCAGCATGAAGAGCAGAAAGGGTTCACTCTTCTTATTTCTGTGAGAATAAACTGAGAGCAGGAGGAGGTCTCACTCGGACTGATTTTCACAAGACAGAAATTCTCTCAAGCAGCAACCTCCTGTGTTGTAAAATGAAGCCGATGCTGAAGTGTAACATCCTGCAGTTCCTGGAGTGTCCACTAGAGGCTGGCTGCAGAAGCACAGGAAGTCACATACACACCCATTCTAAAAAGCCTGTTTTTACAGCAGAGATGAACATGTTTACAGCCTGGTTCAAAAAACCAAATAGTTGTGATTAGCTCATGTCTGGATGGACACACACTGTACGGGGGGTGAATGTTTTGATGACTCATCAGTTTTGATTTGATGAAGGATAAGAGTTATTCACAATAAGGCGTGTAGCTGACCTGATTGACAGGTGGGCGCGGTGTAACGGTTTGTCAGGAGGTTTAAAACCCGCCTCAGCTCCAGCTCTCAGCCTGTCATTAGGTTGACTCAAAGTCAGACTGAGACAGCATTTCCAGCATGGAGACCGCCATCGAGGGGACTCCAGCGCCCCCTGCAGGGACATGTGGGTGAGGTCACTCGTTAATATTTACAGTCTGCGGTTTCTTCTTCACAGTTTTCTGTTTCGTTTCAGGGGCTCCGGAGGATGCAGGTGAAGGTGAGTGACAGCTGACTTCTTGTTGACTTATTTCCCACCTAACAAACAACCTGTCCCTTTAAATCTATGTTTCTATATTTCCCCCTGCAGGCGGGAAACAGAAGCGCAGCATCCCAAACTGGGCGATGACCTCCGACGACTTCTTCGGTTGGGTGGAGGAGCTCCGGAAACACGCCGGCTACGAGCAGATCGAAGAGCTGGCCAGGACCTTCTGGGCTCACTTCCCCTCCGCAGACCGACTTGGGTACGGAGCCCACGAACCAGACGAGTAGAAAGTTCAGTCGGATGGAGGACGGCGAGAAAGACACGACCTACACGAAGACGAGAAGAAGAACAAGACGGACATATCAATAAAAAAGTTTGTTTTGCCTTTAATTAGCTTTGATAACTCTGAAATAAGATTACAATTTTTTTTTCTGACTAAATAATATCAGATGAAACAGATAGTATGAAAAGTGCTGCAGTTACTCCCCTCTGACCACAGGAGGGCAGTAAACATTAGGGTTATTTCCGTGGTGACTAGTACTTAGAGGTTTAATAATCCGAATATAATGCGGGGAAAAAATGTCATTGTAAGAATTATTTTCAGTGTTGTAGTTACTGACAGTGACCACAGGGGGGCAGTGATGATCACAGCTCTCTCTATCTGTGTGTATTAGTGTTGTTAATGATCATTAAATGAATAAAGTCTCATGATATTGAAGTTTTTGTTCCCATAAAAAAGACATCATGCAGTTCATCTTCTCACCACGAGAGGGCGCCGGAACCCTTATCAACTTATAGAAACTCTGAATAATAAATACAAATAAATAAAAGACTTCTGAAGTCTGGCACAACAAAAGGCACACATTTAAGACTTTTAATTTAAATACAAATAAATGTTTATAAACAGTTCAATAATACAATAAAATGTACAGTATGGGTAAAAAGGTGCTGAGCTTATCCTGGTGGGATATTTCACATAGGTCTGTTGAGAGTCAGTGTGGGAAGGGGGGAGGGGGGGGGTTGAGCTTCTGTGTGACGCACAGTCAGCTATGGAGGACTTGTTTTTTTGCTTTTTGGGACTTCAGGGCTTCTGTATATCTACAGATCTATATATCTATATAAACATTTGCATTTCAAGGAGAGTTCAGGTGTTTGTTTTTAACCACAAACAGCTGTGACATCACCATTCATGAAACCAAAGATTTGACCACACAGGACTCTTCTTTACTCTGATCTTCGTGTTTGAGACTTTTCTATTGTGATATTTAGTTTGAATTGAACACAATTTGATGTAACACACAACTAAAATAACATATTTATAAACAGAACTGAATGTTTGCAGCATGAAAACTAATATTTTATGACATATTATCTTATGTTTGCGTCATCACCTGCCGAGCAGGTGGGCGTAGTCTCTTAAGTGACACACAATAAACGACCATATACGGAAGCTCCTTTAAGGAAAGTTATGACGCGATTGTCTCGAGTCGAGGCGCTTCCTTGTTTTTCCTCTCACTTCGGGACTTGCACGCAGCTTCTGTTCTCCGGTAAAGTTTGAGCTCTTAAAGAATTTCCAGTTTGATCTTTGTTTGAGTGGAAACGGTGTGAATACTGAGTGAAGAATAGAAACCCTCCGTCAGAGGAAGACCACGTCAGACACTCACCTGTTCAGGTAAGTTGCAGCCGCTCAGTCAGTGGAAAAACCCAACGAGACAAAAAACCCCTAAGATTCCCTGAGTGAGTTCGTTTTCCTCACCGACACAGGCCGAGTTTAAAGTTTGAATTTATGTTTTTAATCTCAGACTGAGTGTTGTGTTTGTTGTGTGACTTCCTCAGACTGATCAGTGTGTGGGAGTAAAATGTAATGACCATGTTATTATTACACCATGATTCATACACACTCGAGTTTACTGGCTGTCACATCCAGCATGCTGACACACTTCTCCTTTTCTTCTTTACCAGGTTTCATGTTAAAAATGCTCAAATCACGGATCTGTCAAACCAAACTCTGATCAAGAAAAGGAACAACTTTTCATTTACATTTATTTCAAGAAGTTTATCAATATATATAAAAAAGACAAATCAAAATGATTCACTTTGTTTAAAAGAAATAGAAACATTTATAGTTCATGGTTTTATTTCTCCATCAGTGTGAAAGTGTGAGGGGAAGCTCCGTCAGATAATTTCACAACTCATCACATCCTCTTTTCTGTTTTTATTTTTGAAGCTTTCATCATCAAATCGCTCAATGATGGCAGTTAGTAAAGCCAAACTGACTGAAAGTCTAATTTTTAGGCTTTATTTATATATCTTTATATTATTTATTATTACAGTCATGTTTCCCAAAGCTTCACCTGCATGATGATGACCCTCAGGTCTTTATTCATCATAACTAAAGTTGTTGTCGGTGTCATGTGTGAGGTTGACCCTTTGTGAACTTTGTGCTTCAAAAACAAACAAGAAGCAGTAACAACTGTCAGGTTTTTCAAAGTAAAAGTTTTACCCTGAAGTTACCATCTCGTTGATTGCGTTTTATGGTTTGTCCAACAGGAATGTTGATCTGTGAGACCACGAGGAGCCAACATGAGTCTGCCATATTTAATTAAGAGACAACTGTCGTTAAGAAACATGTAAGGTAACGAGGCAACAGGGGTCTTACATTTGTGCAGCAGCGTTTGCATCTTCATAGCTAAAAAACAAATGATTTATTTCCGGTCAATTAGGATCTTCCAAAGACCAGACTCCCTTGATCCTGGACCCAGCTTTGTGTCCTGCAGGAGTACAATGTCCATGGACGATCCAATCCAGTTTCAAAAGACCCCCTGTGGTCCAGAGCACAGGTGATGTTTTTACAACTATGCACCTCTTCAGGTGAAATGTAAACCTGCTTTCAGATCAGTAACATGTCCCATGAAGGAAAACTTCATCCTCCCTTCATAGACTCTATATCTCTTCTGTTTGGTTTTATTTTTTCTCTTCGTATAACTCTAAACTCATTCGACCAACAATGTTCAGTCAAAACAAACTGCGTGGATCCTTCAGGGTGATGACCATATAATTCAACCTTATTCATCTCTTCAAACAGGATCAAACAGAAACCTGGACCTGGACCTGAACCTGGATCAGAGATGAGCTGTGTGTGCCTCCGAGACGACGAGTCGAAGGCTGAGCCTATAATGTTTAACGGCGGAGTCTCCTCTCTGGAAGAGTAAATAAGAAATGAGTTGTGACAGAAATATGTTCAGAGAAGGATTTTTATATTCACTTCAGTTTTAGTTTATTTTGATCGGCTTTAAACATTTCATCCCCATGAAAAACACGCACAGGAGTTTTATAACGACAAATATAAAAAAGCTAAACAACAAGCTGTGAATCATTGTCCTCATTATGTCTGAACATTTTTACATAACAAATTCTGTTTCAACGTCAAAATAAACCAACGTTTCAAACAGAAAGAAAGACACTTACTTACACATGCTGAAGTGTAACATCCTGCAGTTCCTGGAGTGTCCACTAGAGGCTGGCTGCAGAAGCACAGGAAGTCACATACACATCCATTCTAAAAAGTCTGTTTTTACAGCAGAGATGAACATGTTTACAGCCTGGTTCAAAAAACCAAATAGGTGTGATTATCTCATGTCTCGATCGGCACACACTGTACGGGGGGGGTGAATGTTTTGATGACTCATCAGTTGTGTTTGTTTCTATTACCTGAGCTCATTCTTCGTGGTTCCTCCACAGAGTCGACCTGCAGAGCTCAGATGTTACCTGCAGTCATTCTGCCCAGCAGCAGCAAACAGACATGGACTCCATATTTATGGTATGTACCAATACATCTGTTCCTTTTATAATAATCTCACTGATGCACTTTATCGATCCCATGCTCATCCGTCTGTCCAACTTCGATCTGATGTTTGGTTCACATCAAATTTTGTTCCAGATGTTGGAGGAGAACATGGTCACTTTTGTGAAGAACGAGCTGAAGAAATTCCAGAGAGTTCTGAGTTCAGATTACCCAGAGTTCTCAGAGAGTCCGTCCGAGGATGAGCATCTGATGGGCGGCGAGGATAAAGAGCAGTGGAGGAGGATCAGAGAGACGTTTCTAAGGATGACAGTTGACTTTATGAGGAGAATGAAGCATGAGGAGCTGGCTGACCATCTGCAGAGCAGTAAGAGGATTTATGATTTAAAATGCTGCTTGGATTCATATTCTTACATTTATTAAAGTCCAGAACACACACCGATGTTCATGAGGACACACGACCTGACACCCCCACATCAGTTTATCAGACAAGATGAAAAACTTATGCAACAATTAACTGCCCCTTCTGCAGTTTATCTCCTTATCACATTTCTTTCCGGTCATATTGTACTGTCAAAAAGTAATGCCCAATTTCTCTCAGGATCCAGTCAGATCCCACATTAAAACCAATCCAGTCCAGTTCCTTGAAACAACAGCGAATACCTTTCCAAAATTAACTTATAGTTTACATTGGATACCAGAAACGGGTGAAATACTGATAGAAAATCAGAGTGCCATCCATGCAAGTTGAGTATTTTGCCAAAGTAAGTAATCATTTGATCTTACTTGTACTTTCAGAATCTCCTGCCATGTGCCAACTTAACCTCAAATCTAATCTGAAGAAGAAGTTCCAGTGTGTGTTTGAGGGGATTGCTAAAGCAGGAAATCCAACCCTGCTGAACCAGATCTACACAGAGCTCTACATCACAGAGGGAGGGACTGGAGAGGTCAATGATGAACACGAGATCAGACAGATTGAAACAGCATCCAAGAAAGCTGTAAAATTGGAAACCAAAATCAGGTGTGAAGACATCTATAAACACTCACCTGAAAGAAATACACCAATCAGAAGAGTGATGACAAGGGGAGTGGCTGGCATCGGGAAAACGTTCTTAACACAGAAGTTCACTCTGGACTGGGCTGAAGACAAAGCCAACCAGGACGTGCAGTTCACATTTCCATTCACTTTCAGAGAGCTGAATGTGCTGAAAGAGAAAAAGTTCAGCCTGGTGGAACTTGTTCATCACTTCTTTATTGAAACCAAAGAAGCAGGAATCTGCAGGTTTGAAGAGTTCCAGGTTGTGTTCATCTTTGATGGTCTGGATGAGTGTCGACTTCCTCTGGACTTTAAAAACAACGAGACCCTGACTGATGTCACCAAGTCCACCTCAGTGGATGTGCTGCTGACAAACCTCATCAAGGGGAACCTGCTTCCCTCTGCTCGCCTCTGGATAACCACACGACCTGCAGCAGCCAATCAGATCCCTCCTGAGTGTGTTGACATGGTGACAGAGGTCAGAGGTTTCAATGACCCACAGAAAGAGGTGTACTTCAGGAAGAGATTTAGAGATGAAAAATTAGCCAGCAGAATGATCTCCCACATCAAGACATCCCGAAGCCTCCACATCATGTGCCACATCCCAGTCTTCTGCTGGATCACTGCTACAGTTCTGGAAGA